AGTTCCACTTGATTTTCACTTCCTTGACAAGGACACTGAGGTCGTGAGGGCTGGATGAGCTCTGTGGCTCACAGACCGAATGGTGAGCTGGGGTCTGGATCCAGGGTGGAGTGGCTGAAGAGCTCGCTCCCTTTATCATGAATGGCCTTGGCTGTCTCTCACATATGACATGTGCCTGAAGAATGTCTAGTGAATATTCCACACACTGTGGCATGAAAACAAATTACTAGGCACTGCATCTTCCAATGTTTGAACTAAGCAGCAGTAACACACTCAACACTGTGCTGAAACAGTGACCGACGGGAAAGGCGGAAACAGTGTGTTCAAATTCCCTCCCGACTTCTCCCACATTCGCCCCTGCAAAGCCACAGTGGGAAGAGGGAAAGCTGGGGTTCCCTGGAAACTGGAAGGAAGTGTCACCTAGGGCCAGGAACACAGGCTTTGTGCCAACAGTCCTGCCGCTCCAAGTGGTGTCACAAGTGACAGTCACACAACCACATCTGGAACAGAGGGTATCCCTGCAGGACAGCTCAGAAATGAATGTGCACAGCACACAGATCCAGCCTCCTCTTCTGCCATGCAGATGCCAGGGGCCAGGGGCAAAGCATGAGAGGAAAGAACACAGTTCACAGAGAGGTACAGTGGCCCCAGCATCTGCAGGCCCAGTGAATATAGATGCTCTCTTCACTTCCATCACGGGGCGGGGGGAGAGAAAAAGGCCCGGGGCTCTGCTTTCACTTTCCAATCTCTCAGTCCCATCTGGACAAACATGCTTGCACCTATTCGCTTCCTCATGAGCCGACTGGCTGGTCACAAATCACTGCCAGCAAAGTGCAGCAAGCTAACGCAACAGTGTCAGCAGAAAGGCACCGGGCACCCCTGAGGGCACCTCCCAGCATTCCCAGCTGTCCTTCCGCTTGCACACAGGGGACACAACGGGTCCAATCCTCCATCATCACTGGCAGGGACATTACGGTCAAAGCCAGGAGTCTCGGCCTTGCCATTTAAAGGGCAGCCTTGCACAAGTTTTTAAAGATTTATTATTCATTTATTCAACAAATATTTATTGAGTGTCTCTGAGATCCCTGTTCTCAGGGAATTTATATTCTAATGGAAGAAAAAAGATATCCTATAATAAATAGAAGCATAGGTAAGAGGAAGTTAGCAGATAGTGGGAAGCAATTTATGGAGAATTAGGACAGCAATAAAATAGACCGTGAGCGAGTAGTTAATTTAGGCTGTGTCATTTTAGAATAGGTGACATTTAAGCTAAAATCTGAGGAAGTGACTTCCTCTTTCTGGACATCCATTTCCTTTTCTATAAAATGCAGCTATCAAAGTGGAAGGCTATTTTCTTTTTATTTGAGACAGGGTCTTGCTATGTAGCCCAGGCTGGTCTCAAACTCATGGCGACCTTCCTGCCTCAGCCTCCTTAGTGCTGGGATCATAGGAGTGCAGCACCACGCACAGTAGAGCAGGGAAACTTTTGAAAGTCTCTTCTCATTCCAGGACCAGGTGATTTCACAGGTGTTAGAGGTATATCATGTACATGCATGCACATTCTTAACATCAAATATTCCCCTATATTTGTCTGCACAAATCATGCCCATGAGTCCTAGATCTGAAGACATTTAGGCAAAAATAAATTACTTTTAAGGAACTGAATACATCTGTGCAAACTGAACTTTTCTTATGCTCTCTGAGCTCTGATTGGTAGAGGTTCGTATTTTGTTAATGTTTCGGCAAATGGATCAAGCTGGTCTCTAACCAGAGGTTTTCCCAGTCCTCAAATGTTCAGAGCAGCAAACTCGTGGCTCCACCATGAGGTTAAAGGTTGTCTTCAGCTCATCTTTGCAGGGCATCACTCACAGCACAAGTTCAGACCTAGGAAAATCTTAAAGGTGGAACTCCTAAGCCACATGTTCCCTTTCACACAAGCATGGCAGCCAGAGCAAAGCGCCAAGGTATAGAGGTTTTTAAAGCAAACGTCAGCGTTTTGACCCATATTCTTTATGCACCAGTTAACTCGAAAATTATGAAAGCTGAAAAGCCCAGATCAACTGTACCGAAGGGATTAGCCCAATACCCCATCCCTCCCTTTCCGGCCCTGCCATCCTCTCCCCCGCCCCTCTCCTCCCTATGCCAGGATGCCTTTCTGGAATGGAATGGAAAGGAAAGTCTCTCCAACTGTCGAAAAGTGAGGGCGTCCGGATATTTAATTCTGATAACCAATCACTGGGAAACAGGAAACAGTGCAGGAGAGGCACTGCAGTCGTGTGGGAGAGACACGGGGAGGCAGCAGGCACCCTCTACCTCCCCTAGCTCACTCAGGGTCCCGGTCCGTGCCCGAAAGCCATCACAGGCCATATGACTCTTCCTCTGGATCCTGCAGCTATGGTGCAGGCGGAGACCCACAAAAAACCATCTACCAGTACCCAGATGTTTCCACTGCTTAGAGAAATGTTTTGAAAAACAACAATTTAAGAGATCCTCTGAACTACACGTGTGATTCTGTAATGCCCTAGAAGTTGCTGGTGTTCCCATTCTGAAATTTCAATTTTCCTGCATTCATTTTCTAAGGAGCAAGAAGTCAGGTCAATTACAAGACAAAGTTCCTCACCTAATTTGCTTGTCCTCCAGTGCCAGGTGGACACAGAATGCTTAATTTCTAGGGGAGGAAGGAGAGACACTTGCAGATCTATTTCTTGGAGAAGATTAGAGATGAATAGCAGAATGAAGCCAGTATGGAAGCTTTCTTACTTCTACTAGCAAATATGCTAGAAACCCTGCTCATCAACTGCCAGAACATGTAACTGCTCTTATGTAGGAGAAAGCAGAGGAAATGAAATAAAAAGGATGAAGGGGTATGAGACAACTTTTCTGAGCATCTGAGACACCTGGGAGAGAGATTTTCTAGTCTGAAAGTTTGATCCACCACAAGGGAAGTACTGGTGAAATGAGGAGCTGCATATGGACTTGACAAATGAGAGAAAACAGTCTGTACTAGCAACAAAGCCAAGTTGATACAGAAAAGTGCTCAAAAAAGGAACCTTAGTAATACAGGCTCAGCTGCCTTAAATCCTGTTTTGGGAAAAACTTAAGCTATGAAGAAATTATAATCTCAGAAATATTCAGAAATCACTGAAATCATAGAAAACTAACAACTTGTTCTTTGCATAGTTGGAACATGGAAAAAAGCTTAGAAGAAGAAACAGTGGCGAAGCTTACTTGTGAGGAGTTTGGGCCCAGCTATCGAACTGTGTATTCTAGAGCTTCAACATGACAGGGGAAATGGCTGTTTTTTCCCTAGCTTCCACTGGTTCCTAACAGTTTCAGTTCACAGATCGACATCACGCAAAGTGAGATACCAGCCTCATCATCCTGGCCAGCTCCAGCAATCAAGGAAGAAGAAAGTGAGCCAAGTTGAGAACTTGAAAAATGAGGCTGCATTAAGAAGGTTTCTGCTGCTGGAGAGCTCGTCTGCCTCAAGACCAAGTCAGGACCAGGAGCTTCGTATGAGGCGAAGTGAAGGCTCACCCCGGGGACAGGAGTGTGACACTAGTCTCCATGCTTGCTGATAACACACACACACCCTTCTCCTATGCACTCGCGTGTGCTTTACACGACAGCCTGTGGAAGCCATATTCTAAGGCTGCTCCTTAGCTGGGTCCTGAGTCGTCTCCTGAGCCTGGACGTGGGATAAAGTCCTGGCACTTTGTTGAGAATATATTTTAGACAGCAGTGGCTCTTTCATTATAATTCATTTCTGCAATCTTGCAAAACCAAAGAATTTTTGATAAATCCATCTTTCTGGGACTCTCAGTTTCTGTAAGTCCAAAGAATAAATAATCATATTCACCTCTTTTATTTCATAGAAGGAAATATAAATACAGAAGATAATTGTGGGTGCTTAATGGAGGGTGCTGACTCCTGGATCCTGTCAGTCTTATTTACTTTTCTCATTGCTGAGACAAAACACCCAAGACCCACAAGTTAAAGGTCAGCTCACACTTTGCAGAGGTTTCAGTCCATAGTCAGCTGGCTCTAAGGCAGGTGGCATGGCAGAGGGGCATCATGGAGAAATAGTCCACAGCAGGGCAGGCAGGAGACAGCAAGCAGTGAGCCTCCCTTTCCCTTTTATTCCACCCAGGCTACAAGCTGATTTACTGGTGCCACCCACAGCCAGAGTGGGGCTTCCATTATCCATACCCAGAATGAGGCTAAGCCAGTCAGTGCACTGTTAGTTATCACACACCCTTACTCCATATTCACACACCCTAGATCCAGCCACCTCTGAAAAGACCCACCTATGAGTGCATGAGGCTTTGAAGAGACCTCTAGACACAAGCCATAGCACTGTCCATAGAGTGAACCTGCCACAGCCTTTCCTTGAGAAACAAGCATCCCATTTCCTCCAGCAACAAGTATTTAAGCGCTGGACATGTGCATGGGGGACTCAGAGAGTTCAGAAGGAAGTCCGTCTGCAGACAATCAAAGTTCGCAGGTGAAGAAGTCAAGGTTCAGTGAAGCCTGCAGTGGCCAGGGAGGACCCTGAGGAGGACGGAGGGAGAGGCAGGGCAGCACAGAGAAGACGAGACATTGTGTCTCCCCAGGGCATCTACTGAGACACCAGAAGGAAGGCCAGCCCCTGTGCCCAGGACAGTGTGAAGTTGGCTGCCACAGGTGATGGATTTTGCGAATGGTCCTAGTTGCTATGAAGACAAAAGTCATAAATGTGTGCAGTATGAGATGTGATTACTACACACGTGCGTGTTCAAACATATAAAGGAAACTTTATGCATGCACTCAGTTACTAACCTCCAATCAGTGCTCACCTCTAATTATTGTTAATAGGGAAACTTTTTGGTGTTTTGTTTGTTTGGCCACACTGGGCTTTGAACCCAGGACTTCCACATGGAGCTACAGCCACAGGCCATTGGTGATCCCTTTGCCTCAGCCTCCCAGAGTGCTGGGATGACAGATGTGCGCCGGCACCTTACCTGCCTCCCAGGCCAGGCAGCTTTGAGGATGGCCTCTGTCCGGAAGAACACCAGAAGCCTGCTGTCCTCCTCCGTCAGGCGGAAGGACTGCTCCAAGAGCTGCAGCGCACGGACTCGGGGCCAGACAGGCAGGGCATCGTCTGCACAGAAGGGCCGCAGCCACTCCAGCAGGTCCTCGGGGGCCACCAGCTGCTCCCTGCAGGACAGCATCGAGGGGGGATAGAGAGAGAGAGAGAGAGAGAGACAGAGAGAGAGAGAGAGAGAGAGACAGAGAGAGAGAGAGAGAGACAGAGAGAGAGAGGCTTACGGTCTGTTTTAGCATTCAAATGACCTAAATAGTTGTTTGCTGGATAACTTTATTTTTGCCCTGTTGAGAGGAAGAAGTTAGGTTTTACAGCAACCACTACAGGCATTTAACAACTGTATAAAATGAATGTGATTTCTAAACAGTACTCTATTAAAATGAGTTACATTAACCAGATAAATAACAAACATTAACCAGTATGTCCTTAGCTAGTTAATAAATAGGAGGGCTTATTTCTGTTCATCCTACGAATAGTGCTGGTACCATTCAGCAGCTGCCATAAATTGCATTTCCAGCCTCTGGAAAGAAAGAGCCCACGCACAAGTGCCTCCAGGAGGTGACACCCTGTGACCCAAAGCCCTTGCTCAAGGCCTGGGATTAGAGATCATCCATGGTTAGACTATCCAATTCTATACCAGCCCAAAAATAAAAATAAAATGTGAGTGTTTGGCTCTGATGTGAGTGCAGTCTGAAGAGACTCCGGGAGGGGGTGCTGTGAATGGTTTCCTAGCAGTGCCCGGCCTCTCCCGTGGTCCCTCATGGATTTCTCAGGGCAGGAACTCACTGGAGACAACATCTCCCGTCATTCTCTGCGGGGCAGAGGTTCTCCTCGGGGAAGATCTCCCCGCACACTGCCTGGCCTGGTTACATTACCAGGCTGATTTATTGTCAGCAATAAATCACCTACCCAAGTTCCAGACCAACTCTCCAGAAACCGAATTCCTGCGCTAACAAGGATACATTTTTCAAACTCTTCTGCAAAGAATAAAATTTTGCAATGCCCTTGAGTATGTCTCTTAGCATGTACTAGGTCATATGCTTGTCAAGGGCTATTTTGTGGCCATTTAAATTAAAAAATAATTCCTTGTATTTAGGAATAAAGGAAATTATAAAATGTGGACAACTGGTTGAAACACTTATAAATTTTCAAAGACATTTGTTAGGTTCTCAACATTTATCAGAAATTGGAAGGAATGGTGTACAAGAAACATAGAAGGCACAGACATCTCCAGGGTGGGTGCTACTCCCGAGTGAACAGATAGTGTGGGGAATGGAAAGGCCAAACCGCGGTTCCTGGCTCCATCCTTCCCAACAACTCTGCGCACAGCTCAGGACTGTCATGGGCCCACTTCCTAGCTAAGCAGACGAAGGCACAGTGGGACACAGGGGACATGCAGTGGACAGCGAACATCACTGCCAGGATAGTCCTCGTCAGAGCTACCGTTACCAGCATCACCAATCACTACAGTTTGTGCTTGATGATAGAGATTTAAAAATTACATGGTCTCTGCCTTCAAAGAACTAATAAAATGGAACAGAGAGACTGCAAAAGGGACCATTATCCAAGTTGCTGCTGTAACATATACTTGAACAACTGCTCTGGAGGAAGAGGCGTGGTGTCACGGTGGGATCATCAAGGATAAGCCTGGTAAGGCCAGCAAGTGAGAGCTCGGGCCTGGTCCCCTTGGGATCCATACCTCCTGACAGTGCCAAGGTGTTCCCAGTGTTCTGCCCACCTGACTCCTCCGTCACCCGCTCAGGCTGTAAGGGGAGTGCAGAGCGATTGCTGCTGCACAGCCCCTGGCATCACTATAATCTGATCTCTGTACCAAGTGACACTGCCAGGAAGCCCCACGCCAAGGAGCAGCAAGGAAGGCGGCTGCATCGCAGATCACCTCTGCCTGGCCCAGGAAAGGTGAGACTGTCCTCCCCTTAGGAGCTGGTCCACCCTCTTGATGACCTCCCGGCCGATGTGGGAGCTCATCCCGACTTCTCCATCCTGGGGCCAGGGAACAAACGTGTGCTACTGGGGGTCACCTTGCTTTCTGGCTTCACCACACTGGACAGAAACCAGACCTCTTTTCGGGGAGTGTTTCTCCCATGAGAGGAAACAACTTTCGAGGGACACTTTGACCAAGAAGTCACGTGCCAGTTCTGAGCCTCAGTTTCCTTATTTGTCAAGAGAGATGGGTACCGGTACCTTCCTCAAGGGGCTATTCAGAGTTCAACAGAAACATAAAATAGGAAATGGGAGGCATGGAATGATACAACGTCTGGCACCTAACCACGCACTGCAGTTACTACCGAGGACATCTGGGCTTGTCTTCGGGGGATTTCTGAGAAGGGCGTCGCGATGCTAGGCCTGGAGCCAAGGTGCCTTCTGCCAGAAGTGAGAGGCTGGCCAAGCACTACTCTGGAGGCGAGGAGTGTAAAGCCCGTCTTTGGCTACTAGTCCACGCCAGTTTCACGTAACAAAGCTGAGCTCTGGATCACCCGCCCAGGGCCAAGGGGGTGGTGGGGAGTAGGACGCACTGGGAGGAAGGAAGCTGGGGTCATGAAGACCAAATGGAAGTCAGGACAACACGCCAAACCTGTATGGAGTGGGCAAGGGCAACAGCAATACCAAGGGTGCTCGTAAAAGCTTCTAACGTGCTCGGAATCCTACCACCTCACCCTAAGTCTTTCTCCTGCGTGCTGCTATCTGCTCTGGTGTGCAGGGCAGGAAACAGCCGAGGACAGGTTTGCTGCCGGGTCCACACTCACACTGAAAGAAGCGGAGCCGATACTGAAACTTGTAAGACCTGCCGGTTACCACTCAGCACTATTGAACCAAACTGGGGCACATTCTAGAATTCAAATGATTCAGCTGCTGAGGAGACACAGAAAGATTATTCTACTTTCCAAGTTATTAAATTGAGCCAGACTTTTCCATCCGTGCTTACTGTGCAGTTAATAACATCTGACATTTTGGAGGGCTGTGTTTTAATTTTAGGTTGGTGGTTCAAGCACATAATAGAATTATGAGAACTCGTTCCTCAAACAGAGCATCCTGTCTGAGATGAGCACTGCCAAGCACCATCTGCACCCGGTGCCCAGCAGGGAGCCTGCGCAGAAAGGAAAGGTGGCTGGGTGGGAAATGCTGCCGAGGCCCAGCGCGGCCACTGTCCTCAGACCTCAGCTGCCAGATGAGTTTTGCTTGTGCTGCAGTCTTGACGCTTGTGGTTCAGCAAAGGCACAGAGAAACAGGGCAAGCGAGAACTCATAAAATGGTAACTGGTGACCAAGGGGAAGAGTACAGAGGTTTTTCTTTTCATTCTTTTATCCTCAGCACTTGTCTGTGGGCTTGAAATTTTTGAAAAGTAACAATTATGACTTTTTTATTGAGACACCGAAGTTTGCGCCCACAGCATCCCCAGTCCACAATCAGGACTTTCATTAATCTTCCGCAAGGAAAGAGGACGGAGAGATGGAGGGAGGGAAAGGGGAGGAGAGGAGACACTGAGATGCGCTATGGACATGCACCAGCCCCACAGGGAGGGTGACCACCATGTACTGCAAACGTGTGCCCACGCTGTGAGACCAAAAGTGACTCCATTTTGCTAATGTGAGACCAGAATGACTCCATTTTGTCCAAAATGGAGCAGTCTCCTTTGTTCTTTCAAATGAATGATTAAATGTGCTTAATCTGGGACAAAAGACATGATCTGTAACTCGGGATTCCTAAGCTCATGACTCAGCCATCTGTGTGCCCTAGAAACAAGTGTCCCGGGCCCACTATCTATAGGACAATCTGTTCACGTGCTGACTGTCCACACAGGGTGGTCATGACCATGAGTCAAGACGTCTGCTGACCATCAGTACGTGACAGTGGGCCACGGACCTTTGTCCCCATTTCTCTTGTAAAAACCTGTACGTAATCCCCTTCAACCCTCAATGAGCCTAGCCAATCAAACTTCTACACTTCATACTTGCTAAATGTTAACCAATCACATGGCTGCTAATGACCGAAGCTTGCTGTAACCTCTATAAAAACCCTGCTAATTTGGAACTCGGGGCTCTCAATCTCGCTCCGCTGTGTCGGTGACAGTGGAGAGTCCCTGCTTAAGCTTGAATAAACGACCCTCGTGTGCTTACATCGGAGACGGCCTCCTGGTGGTCTCTGGGACTTCGTAATCTGGGCACAACAACGCAATAAAGATTCAAGACAAGAGTAGCGTAAAACATCCAAGCGAGAAGAAGGACAGTGACTCCACCTCGATAGTCTCTTATGAAAGCAAGGAGATTTAATGAGCTTAGGAGTAAAAAGAGAGTATTACTCATAAGCACATTCACTTCATTGCAAGAGTTACACGAACGATTAATCTGAGTTATAAAGTAGGTAAAAGGGAAAACCACCAGGTACCTATACATACATGGGCAGCTGCTTCCACCTTTTCCCCTAGAATGGGGACAGGGGCAGGTATTACACCACACAGCATAACGGGCTGCATAATTTAAAAAATTAACCTTGAAGGAAAAAATACATACACTGTTTTGCCCAAAAGATAAGGAGTCAGCCTGAATATATTAGTAGCTCTTTTAGTGGGAAATAACGGCACAAATAAGTTCGCGTAAATGACAACTTTGAGACTGGGGCTTCTCCCTGTTATGCACTGTGGCATGGATGGAGGATATTCACAAACCTACAAAGGAACGGAAGGGAAGTCGACCAAAGGCAGCTATTGAGTCAAAGCAAAAAGACATTTTAAGACTGTAAATAAGCTATGCCTCTGTGGTGGTGCACACCTGTAATTCCAGTCCTGGGAGGCTGAGGCAGGAGGAGCAACTGCAAGTCTGAGGCCAGCCTGGACTACATAGCTAGACCCTAATTAAAAAACAGCACAAAAAGAATAAACAAACTGTGGGAAATTGTAAAATTCAACTATCTAGTTGTAAGAATAGATCACAAGAAGTTTGTTAACTAAGAAAATTAAGTCGTTTCTGGGAAATTCCACAAGTCTGTTTGTTAAAAGAATGCCAGAAAACTTTAAGAGACCTTGTGAAAGTTTCACGGGAGAAAAACAGGTTTTCCTAGTTTTCTTATTTACCATTTTCCTGGGATCAGAGGACCG